CATTAGCCTCCCTCCAACCTCACCTGTACATGCGCACCATGCTGCCATGTACCAAGCACGCCTGCTCTCCCCTCCCTGCTTGAAATCTCAGAAACATCCCTCACCTTGTCTAAGAGGCCGGCTGAGAAGCTGGCCAATCACAGTGGAGGAGGGCTTTTGGTGGGAGGATTTGCAGTCTGTTTCCAAAAAGAAAGAGAAGGTCAGACGAAGAGATCTTCAGCCTTTCTTTTAGGTGAGCTGATTTCCGAAAAATGAAGGAAACACTGAGCAGCATTCTGTGGAAACAGATACTAAAAGACAAGGGAGTTACGGATGGATGGGAATTTCTCAAGAGTGAAATACTCAAGGCGCAATTGCAAACTGTGCCAACAAAGAGAAAAAATAGGACAAGTGCAAAGAAGCCAGAATGGATGTCCAAAGAACTTCTAACTGTGCTAAAACACAAAAGAGACATGCACAAGAAGTGGAAAAAGAGAGAAATGACAAAAGAAGAATTCAAACAAATAGCCAACACCTGTAGGGAAAAGGTCCGCAAGGCTAAAGCACCAAACGAGCTCAGGCTTGCCAGGGACATTAAAAACAATAAAAAGGGCTTCTTTTCTTATGTCAGTAGAAAAAGGAAAAACAAGGAGGCAATAGGGCCTCTTCGAAGAGAAGATGGGGCAATGTTGACAGGGGGTAGAGAAAAGGCAGAACTACTTAATGCCTTCTTCGCCTCAGTCTTCTCACAAAAAGAACGTCATCTTCAACCTCAGCAAGATGGAGTGGATGAGAGATTAGAGGACATCCAACCCCAAATTGGGAAACAAGTCGTCCTGGAATACCTGGCCGCTCTAAATGAGTTCAAGTCCCCAGGGCCAGATCAACTACACCCAAGAGTACTGAAGGAACTAGCGGAAGTCATTTTGGAACCATTAGCAATCATCTTTGAGAGTTCTTGGAGAACGGGAGAAGTTCCAGCAGCCTGGAGGAGGGCCAATGTGGTCCCAATCTTCAAGAAGGGAAAAAAGGGTGACCCGAACAATTATCGTCTTGTCAGCCTCACGTCGATACCAGGCAAGATTCTGGAAAAGATTGTTAAGGAAGTGGTCTGCAAACACTTAGAAACAAATGCGGTCATCGCTAATAGTCAACATGGATTTATCAAAAACAAGTCATGCCAGACTAATCTGATCTCTTTTTTCGATAGAGTTACAAGCTGGATAGATGTGGGGAATGCCATGGATGTAGCGTACCTGGATTTCAGTAAGGCCTTCGACAAGGTCCCCCATGACCTTCTGGCAAGGAAACTAGTCCAATGTGGGCTAGGCAAAACTATGGTGAGGTGGATTTGCATGTTTTCAAACTGCTAGGTTGGCAGAAGCTGGGGCTAGCAGCGGGAGCTTACGCCGTTCCCCAAATTTGAACCAGCGACCTTTCGGTCCTCAAGTTCAACATCTCAGTGGTTTAACCTGCTGCACCACTGAGGAATGTGTATAGAAAATATACATTATATTATGAATTTAGATATGCATTGTTGGATAATTTAAGCGCAGGCTGCTCTACTATGCACGAATTTATCGGCGTTTGAATCCCTTTGGGGAGATAGAGCGAAATAATAAATAAAGTTTTTATTATTATTATTATTATTATTATTATTATTATTATTATTATTAACAGTCCCATGAGAGAATAGACATATTATGATCACACAAACTAAGCAAAAAAAGATGCACACATTTATGAAAGTGTTCCCAATATTTCTATTTATACCCACCCTGCCCTGCTCTTTCCTTGTGACTGGGTCATCCCTAGTACTAAAGTTGTCAAGACTGAAGTCTGATGTGCTAGGAATGTTTGCATCATTTTACTGTTTGCATCATTTTTGTTAGGATTGTTGCTGATAACTAGCTGCTGTTTTCTCTGCTGGATAATTGTTAGTCCTTCTCCTTCCACGGGTGAACCTTTAGTCTTTGGGGATTGGATAGATTGTCTTCAATGTCAGCAATGCTCAAGCTTGAGCTTAAGCAAACATGCAACAAAAAGAAGCAGCCGTCGGGTCTGTCTTGTCAGTTCCTGACCAGGTGGCTAAGAGCATACAAGCAACAGGCAGATCTCCAATTGTACTTAAGAGCAAGTCCAGAACTCGTAAATTATTTGGAGTTTACCGTTGTCAGTGATGAAGAAAGTGTTTGAGAACTTCCAACCGGTAAGGGCTGGACTGGGCTTTGCTAAGATGTCTTTTCAAATCTTTTCTGCTATGTTTTAAAATATTGCTAAGTAGTTAGACCAGGCATGGGCAAACTTTCTAACTTGGGGGCCGCATGCTAGCACTCCCTGCTAGGAAGACTAGCTGCCCAGTGATGGAAGGAAGGGAAGGAAGAAGGAAAGAGAGAAGGAAGGAAGGACGAAAGGGAGGAAGGGGAGGGTGGAAAAAAGGAAGGGAAGGATAAAAGGAAAAAAGAAGGAAGGGAGGGAGGAGGGAGAGATAAAGAGAAGGTAGGTAGGTAGGTAGGTAGGAAGGAAGGGGAAGATAAAGGAAAGAGAGAAGGAAGGAAAGCCAAAAGGGAAGGAATGAAGGAGAAAAAGGGAGGAAAGAGGGAAGGATGAAAGGGAGGAAGAAAGGGATGGAAGGAGAAAGAGGCAAGCAAGGAAGGGAGGCAAGAAGGAATGACAAAAGGGAGGGAAGGAGGGAAGGACAAAAGGTGGAAGGAAAGGCTGGATGGAAGGGAAGGAAGGAAGGGGTGAAGGAAAGAGAGAAGGAAGAAAGGACTAAAGGGTGGAAGGGAATGGAGAGAGGGAGAAAGAGGGAGCGAGGGAAAGAAAGGTTAGGGTTAGGGTTAGGAAAAAGAGAAGGAAGGAAAGCCAAAAGAGAAGAAATGAAGGAGAAAGAGAGAGAGAGTGAGGAAAGAGGGAAGGAAGAATGAAAGAGAGAAAGGAAAGGATGGAAGGAGAAAGAGGGAAGTAAGGAATGGAGGTAAGGAGGCAAAATAAAAGGATGGAGGGAAGGAGGGAAGGACAAAAGGTGGAAGGAAAGGATGGATGGAAGGAAGGGAAGAAAGGGATTAAGGTAAAGATAGAAGGAAGAAAGGACTAAAGGGTGGAAGGGAATGGAGGGAGGGAGAAAGAGGGAGGGAGGAAAGAGATAAAAGGAAAGACAAAGGGGAAGGAAAGAAGGACTAAAGGGTGGAAGGGAATGGAGGGAGGCAGAAAGAGGGAGGGGAGGGGAAGGAAGGAAGAATGAAAGGATGGAAGGGAAGGAGAAAGAGGGAGGGAAGGATGCAAGAAATAGAGAAGGATAAAGGGGTGGAAGGGAAGGAGGAATGAAAGGGAAGGAAGGATGGGAAGGAGGAAGAAAAGAGAGAAGGAAGGAAGGACTAAAGGGTGGAAGGGAATGGATGGAGGGAGGGAGGGAGGAAAGAGAAAAGGAAGGAAAGACAAAAGGAGAGGAAGGATTAAAGGATGGAAGGGAATAGAGGGAGGGAGAAAGAGGGAGGGAAGGGGAGGAAGGGAGGAAAAAGGGTGGAAGGGGAGGAAGGAGGGAGGGAGAAAGGAAAGAAAGGGAGGAAGGAAGAATGAAAGCATGGAAGGGAAGGAAAAAGAGGAGGGAAGAATGCAGGAAATAGAGAAGGAAGAAGAATAGGATAGTGAGAGAGGAGGGCCTGAGAAAAGAGCCCAAGGGTCCACATCTGCCCCGGGGCTTGGGTTTGTCCGTAACCGAGTTAGACTGCTGTGTTATTATGCAATTTCAGTAGTTTCTTTTTAATATATCTGGCAGGAAATTCCTGTTTGTAAAGAGTTCATTTCTCCCTCTCTCGAAAAATTCCGTCCTCTTGCCTTTCTGTTTTATTTTGTTGTAGACTGATTGCCAGTTTTTAGTAGTTAATTTAGAAAAGAGGAGCATTTGCCAGGAACATAGAGATATCCATTGCTGTTAGCTGAAACCAGAGGAAGGAAATCACCACAAATTGCTGTATGTCTTTAAAGCTATGAATGAATTCAAGCAAATTTCTGGATTGGACGTTGCACAAATATGCAAGCCAGAAGTTGGAAAAGTTACTTTTAGGGTCTTCAGTCGCAGAATTGTCTTGCAAACTTCTCTTTTCTCCACTGCTCCTCAAATAAATATTGTTACAAGATCAAAAAAATAATGTATTGACAGTACGTGTGGAGAAATTCAAAACAGTTCTGGAATTAAAAGTCACAATTCTATGCTCTCCTTACATTTTGTACCTTAATTTTGTGAGTGGTATGAAAAAACAGGTGGATGTTAAGCATTCTACTTTTTCTGTGTGTTGTATCTACATTAGAGCATTGAAAACTAAGTATCATTGGAGACTGGATGCTTGGCTTTGGTAATATAATAAATGGTGGTGGAACTTGTTGCTCTGATTTCTTATACGAAGGTAAAGGTTTCCCCTTGACATTCAGGGAAGTTGTATCTGACTCTGGGGGGTGGTGCTCATCTACATTTCAAACTGCTAGGTTGGCAGAAGCTGGGGCTAACAGTGGGAGCTCATTCCCTCCCTGGATTCGAACTGCCAGCAAGTTAGCAAGTTCAGCAGATCAGCGGTTTAACCCGTTGTGCCACCAGGGTCTCCTCTGATGTTCAGGTGGAATCTCCTGTAGTTTGAAGCCATTGTTCCATTGTGTCCTAGTCTCCAAGGAAGCAGAAAACAAGCTTGCTCTCTATGACTTCACCTCACATATTTATTCATGACCATCATGTCTCCTCTCAGCCTTTACTTCTGCAAACTAAACATGCCCAGCTCTTTAAACTGCTCCTCATAGGGCTTGTTCTCCAGACCCTTGATCATTTTAGTTGCCCTCTTCTGGACAGAATTGAACACAGTATTCCAAGTCCAAAGTTTCTTTTGGTCCAAAGAGGTCCAAAGTTTCTTGTGAAAGAAACAAACAGATGTCTTTTTAAATTAAAGCAAGAAGGACAATAAAACTAGGGAATGTCCATATTTAAGCTATTTTCCCCATATTCATGAATATTTGCTTGTCTTCTCTTGAAGGTGGAACAAATCTTGTCGGAATTCCAACTACGAGAAGAGGATCTGAAAAAGGTGATGCGCCGGATGCAAAAGGAAATGGACCGAGGGCTAAAGCTAGAGACTCACGAAGAAGCCTCTGTAAAGATGCTGCCCACTTACGTACGGTCTACCCCTGAGGGATCAGGTAACTCTTTCTCTTGTTTAGAAATGGGGGGTGCTACGAAATACAAGCACAGAAGGGACTCTTATCTCAAATCTAGCATGTAATAATAATAATTAGGTTCTTGTGGGTTTTTTCAGGCTATAGGGCCATGTTCCAAAGGCATTTCTCCTGAGGTTTCGCCTGCATCTATGGCAAGCATCCTCAGGGGTAGTGAGGTATAATAATAATAGTAATCATCATCATCATCATCATCTTTATTTTTACCATGCCAACATCTCCCCAATGGGGACTCAGGGAAGCTAACATGAGGTCAGGCCCTTTAAAATACAATGCAACACAATACAAAATACAAAAACAAAATGCATCAAAAACTATAAATTACTATAGCAAAGTAAATAATAAAACAAATTCATACAATATAAAATCGAACAGGATGGGCAGGCCAAATGGACAAGATAAAATAATAAAATAATAAAACCCTGGTTGAGGTAGGAATCGAAGATATGTCCATAAGGGGAGCCTGAGAAAGTGAAACAGTGGGGTAAGGCTTTCAGTTCGGAATGGGGGAAAGTGCATCATAGGGGCAGCTCTATAGATGGGGCAGCAAAAATGGGATAGATGGTCAGTCTCCAAAAGCACATAAGAAAAGCCAGGTTTTCAAGTTTTTCTTGAAGTCTGCTAAGAGGGGGCTTGCCTAATCTCACCAGATAGTAAGTTCCAAAGTCGGGGAGCCACAGCAGAGAAGGCTTTCTCCCTCGTTCCCACAAGTTTTGCCTGTGATAGAGGAAGAGGCAAGAGGAGAGCCTCCCCAGAGGATCGGAGAGATCATGCAGGTTGTTGGTAGGAGATGCGGTCATGAAGGTAGGTGGGTCCCAAACCATCCAGGATATTCTACTTCTTGCAGGGTTTTCCCTAATTGTGAATGACACTCCATGGAACCAGTCCACACCCACTTATATATATAGTCCTGTGTAGATGTGTCCCCAGTCTCAAATGACCATTTGTTAACAGTGGCTCCCATTGCTTTGGAATGATGGGTGATCTTAGTTGAGACCATGTTTTAGGATTATCTATTAGGAGGAAAAAGAGGAAAAAGAACCATGTATACTACTTTCTTGTAGTAAACAATGGGATAGAAATGTAATAAATGTGAGTAGAAATGATGGCTGAAGAAATGAATGACACTGTAGTTTGCAACTGCAGAGGTTGGAGATTTTCTATCTTTGGATCTTGGGGGAACCAATTTTCGAGTTATGCTGGTAAAAGTGGGTGAAGGTGAAGAAGGACAATGGACCGTGAACACAAAGCACCAGATGTATTCTATCCCAGAAGATGCCATGACAGGAACAGCTGAAATGGTGAGTCAAATCATCAGATCATATTAACCTAGTGACATGTTCTATATTTTTTGTGTAGGTGTCAGGATTATAATGAATGGGAAGAAAGATTGTCATGGGTGGAGAAGGAATTGCAATTTATGCCAACCCCTGGGCATGTGGGTAGATACCAGCAAGGACTACTGCCACTCCCATGCATACAAACCAGGCATATGGAACTGCATGCCACTATTTTAAATTATGGTTTGAAAATGAATTCTCTGGAACTACAGTTCCCAAAATATTAGAAAACATCTAACCTGGGCAAGGCCAGATACATAAGCTAGTAGGCAATAAAAATGAAATGTGCGACACCTAGCTTAAAAATAGGTAAGTGAAAGGGATTTTGGAATTTTAGTAGATGACAAGTTGAATGTGAGTCAACAATGTGATGCAGCAGCTTGAAAAAAGGCAACGCAATTCTAGGCACAGTGTCTAGATCAGCGGTTCTCAACCTGAGGGTCGTGACTCAGGGGGTTTGATTGATCGTTTGAGAGGGGTCGCACCACTACCCTCTTCGGCCCCGCCTCCTCTGCCTCCCTGGAATGATGCCAGGCCCCCTCTGCCAGCCAAATAGCCATCACCCGCACCCATGCCACTTCGCCTCCTGGCTGGCAGAGCCAAGGCTGGCTTCACTGAGAGGGAGGACCTGGAAAGACCACCTTCGCCTCCTGCTCCTCTTCCTCGGCTTCAGGACCTGTGGCTGGTGAGGCAGCAGGCTTGGTAAGCCAAGGAGGAAAATACGAAAGTGGCTGCAGTGCCCTCGCCAGTTGTTCGCCTCTTCCTCCTTGGCTCCTGGGGCTGCTTGCTTGGCTCCTGGGGCTGCTTGCCCCTTTGCCGGCTGCTTTGCCAGATGCTTTGTCGGTTCATTCCTTCTCTGGCCCCTTTGCTGGCCCCTTTGTTTCTCCTCTGCCCCCAAGTGCCTCCCCGCACAGGTAGAGGAAGAAGACGAGGAGCCCCTCCATGCTGGCCAGGTGGCATGGGGAGGCACTTGGAGGCAAAAGTGAAGAAAAGGGGCCAGCAAAGGGGTGAGCTGGCAAAGTAGTCCTTCAAACTGTTGGGAGGGCCAGATTATAAAGGACAAGCCAGCAAAGCATCTGGAAAAGCAGCTGGTGAAGCGCCAAAGATTGGAGATAAAGCTTGAGTGGAGACACTTTTCCCTTTGATAATCCTTTCAGGAGTGAACTTCCCTTCTGAAGGATAGATTCCTCTCCCTCTCTGTTGCCTCATCCCTGTTCTTAACTAGGAATTGTTTGTAACTCAGGTACGGCCTGTAGTCTGAAGAACAATATCATCATACAAATATGGGCAGTCCTAAGGGATAAAGCTCCAGCAAAGGATCACCGCCTTGTCGGGGCGCTGGAGCTTGAGCACCTCAATGATGTCATGAGCGAAACCGTGAAGGGACACCCAAGACGGGACGGTTGTGGCAGAGAGGTCAGACCAAGCGTGATCCCTGGGGAAGGCAATGGCAAACCACTCCAGTATCCTTGCCAAGAAAACTAAATGGACCAGTACAACCAGAGATATGTCGGTATCCCATTGGAAGATGGGACTCCCAGGTCGGAAGATGGCCAAAATGCTACTGGGGAGGAGCAGAGGATAAGTTCAACTAGCCCCAGATGTGATGACGCAGCTAGCTCAAAGCCGAAAGGAAGGCGAGCGGCCGACGGTACTGGAGGTGAACGACGAATCCGATGCTCTAAAGATCAACACACCATAGGAACCTGGAATGTAAGATCTATGAGCCAGGGCAAATTGGATGTTGTTATTGGTGAGATGTCAAGACTAAAGATAGACATTCTGGGGGTCAGCGAACTGAAATGGACTGGAATGGGCCACTTCACATCAGATGACCACCAGATCTACTACTGCGGACAAGAGGAACATCGAAGAAATGGAGTAGCCTTCATAATTAATAAGAAATTAGCTAAAGCGGTGCTTGGATACAACCCAAAAATGACAGAATGATCTCAATTCGAGTGCAAGGAAAGCCTTTCAACATTACAGTGATCCAAATATATGCCCCAACCACAGCTGCTGACGAAGCAGAAGTAGATCAGTTCTATGAGGATCTGCAGGACCTACTGGATAATACACCAAAAAGAGACATTATTTTCATTACAGGAGACTGGAATGCCAAGGTGGGAAGTCAAATGACAACTGGGATCACAGGCAAGCATGGTCTGGGAGAACAAAATGAAGCGGGACCGCAGGCTGATAGAATTTTGCCAGGAAAACTCGCTGTGTATAACGAATACTCTCTTCCAACAACCTAAAAGACGGCTTTATACATGGACCTCACCAGATGGTCAACACCGAAATCAGATTGACTACATCCTTTGCAGCCAAAGGTGGCGGACATCCATCCAGTCGGTGAAAACAAGACCTGGGGCTGACTGTAGCTCAGATCATGAACTTCTTATTGCCCAATTTAGAATAAAACTAAAGAGATCAGGGAAAATACACAGACCAGTTAGATATGATCTCACTAACATTCCTAGCGAATATACAGTGGAAGTGAAGAACAGATTTGAAGGACTAGATTTAGTAAACAGAGTCCCAGAAGAACTATGGACAGAAGTCCGCGACATTGTTCAGGAGGCGGCAAAAAAGTACGTTCCAAAGAAAAAGAAAACCAAGAAGGCAAAATGGTTGTCTGCTGAGACACTGGAAGTAGCCCAAGAAAGGAGGAAAGCAAAAGGAAACAGTGAAAAGGGGAGATATGCCCAGTTAAATGCGCAATTCCAGAGGTTAGCCAGAAGAGATAAGGAACTATTTTTAAATAAGCAATGCATGGAAGTGGAGGAAGACAACAGAATAGGAAGGACAAGAGACCTCTTCCAGAAAATTAGAAACATTGGAGGTAAATTTCAGGCAAAAATTGGTATGATAAGAAACAAAGATGGCAGGGACCTAACAGAAGCTGAAGAGATCAAGAGAAGGTGGCGAGACTATACAGAAGATCTGTATAGGAAGGATAATAATATTGAGGATAGTTATGACGGTGTGGTGAATGAATTAGAACCAGACATCCTGAGGAGTGAGATTGAATGGGCCTTAAGAAGCATTGCTAACAACAAGGCAGCAGGAGATGACGGGATCCCAGCTGAACTGTTTAAAATCTTAAAAGATGATGCTGTCAAGGTGATGCATGCCATATGCCAGCAAATATGGAAAACACAAGAATGGCCATCAGACTGGAAAAAATCAACTTATATCCCCATACCAAAAAAGGGAAATGCGAAAGCCTGCTCAAACTTCCGTACAGTGGCCCTTATTTCTCATGCCAGTAAGGTAATGCTCAAGATCCTGCAAGGAAGACTCCAGCAATACATGGAGCGAGAGTTGCCAGATGTTCAAGCTGGGTTTAGAAAAGGTAGAGGAACAAGAGACCAAATTGCAAATATCCGCTGGATAATGGAGAAAGGCAGGGAGTTTCAGAAAAACATCTACTTCTGCTTCATTGACTATTCTAAAGCCTTTGACTGTGTGGATCATAATAAATTGTGGCAAGTTCTTGGTGGTCTGGGCATACCAAATCACATTGACTCTCTCCTGAGGAATCTGTATAAGGACCAAGTAGCAACAGTCAGAACTGACCATGGAACAACAGACTGGTTCAAGATTGGGAAAGGCGTACGGCAAGGCTGCATCCTCTCACCCAACCTTTTTAACTTGTATGCAGAACACATCATGCGATGTGCAGGGCTGGATGAATGCAAAGCTGGGGTGAAAATTGCTGGAAGAAACATTAACAACCTCAGATATGCAGATGACACCACTCTGATGGCCGAAAGCGAGGAGGAGCTGAGGAGCCTTCCAATCAAGGTGAAAGAAGAAAGCGCAAAAGCCAGGTTGCAGCTAAACGTCAAAAAAACCAAGATTATGGCAACAAGAATGATTGACAACTGGAAAATAGAGGGAGAAACCGTGGAGGCCGTGACAGACTTTGTATTTCTAGGTGCAAAGATTACTGCAGATGCAGACTGTAGCCAGGAAATCAGAATATGCTTACTTCTTGGGAGGAGAGCAATGTCCAATCTCGATAAAATAGTAAAGAGTAGAGACATCAGACTGGCAACAAAGATCCGCCTAGTCAAAGCCATGGTATTCCCTGTAGTAACCTACGGATGTGAGAGCTGGACCTTAGGGAAGGCTGAGCGAAGGAAGATCGATGCTTTTGAGCTGTGGTGTTGGAGGAAAGTGCTGAGAGTGCCTTGGACTGCGAGAAGATCCAACCAGTCCATCCTCCAGGAAATAAAGCCCAGCTGCTCACTGGAGGGAAGGAGACTAGAGACAAAGTGGAAGTCTTTGGCCACATCATGAGGAGACAGGAAAGCCTAGAGAAGACAATTATGCTGGGAAAGTGGAAGGCAAAAGGAAGAGGGGCCGACCAAGGGCAAGATGGATGGATGGCATCCTTGAAGTGACTGGACTGACCTTGAAGGAGCTGGGGGTGGTAACGGCCGACAGGGAGCTCTGGCGTGAGCTGGTCCATGAGGTCACGAAGAGTCGGAGACGACTGAACGAATGAACAACAACAAGGGATAAAGTTATGAAGTAGCAATGAAAATAATGTTATGGTTAAAGGGTTGCGACATTAAAAAGCTTGAGAACTGCTGGCCTAGATTGAGGGATGTCATATTCCCACTCTACCTTGGTTAGATTTCACCTGTGTCCAGTTCTGAGTACCACAATTCAAGGTGGATATTGACAATCTAGAGTGTATCCAGCAAAGGGCAACCAAAATAACCAAAGTTTCTGAAGCCAAAACCTTTGTCTTCCAGATGGTTTAGGTCATATCTTCTTCGTGCAAGACCAGAAATAAAATATTCAGTTAACAGCAACTGACATTTATTTTGGTTTTTCTCTCCCCAGCTCTTTGATTATATCTCAGAATGCATCTCTGACTTCCTAGACAAACATCAGATGAAACACAAAAAGCTACCTCTGGGTTTCACTTTTTCCTTCCCTGTACGGCATGAAGACATTGATAAGGTGGGGTTTGGTGTGGAATCTCTTCTTTTCATGCTGTATTTTACCTTTCAGTGAACCAGAATATGAAAGTGCATTCTATTTCGTTTGACTCACACTTCGGATCATTCTACTATAGCAACATGTTTACAGTGTGGGCGACTGTTTTGCTAGGGTTGCCACATCTCAGGGCCTGTCCATGAGTCTCCAGTTTCAGTGGATCTCCAGGCACAGACAAGGATGCAAATTCTTAATTTCTTGTAGGGCTCAACTCTGGGCAATTACTTGAAAAGTGCTGGGCACATATTACTAGCTCAGCTCAAATCTGGGGAGAGACGGATGAGCTCCCTCTATCAACTCCAGCTCCTCATGCAGGGACATGAGAGAAGCCTCCCACAAGGATGATAAAAACTTCAAATCATCCAGGCGTCCCCTGGGCAACATCTTTGCAGACGGCCAATTCTCTCACACCAGAAGCGACTTGCAGTTTCTCAAGTCACTCCTGACATGACAAAAAGAAAAAAAAGAAAAAAAAAACTAGCTCAGCTAGGAGAGAGGTAGGTTGCTATAGTTTCAGCCTATTTTAGGGTTGATATGGGACTTTACAAGGAGAAATTACCACACATTACCAATACAAAATGAATTCACAATAGGCAGTCTAGATAGCAATGAGCTGTGAAGACAGTGTCAATACAGTTGTTCTCATTAATCAAAATCCATCAATAATATATCACTTCATCAAACTAGAGAATGAATCCACTTTAAATCTAGTTGCTGCCTTCTGCAAAATTCTGGGGTTTGTGGTTTATGGAGGAGCCTTTAACAATCTCACTAAACTACAAACCCCAGAATTCTGCAGGAGGCAGAAACCGGACTTAAAGTGGATTCATTCTCTAGTGTGATGAGGTATAAGTAATGCAGGAGGGAAGAATGTGTGGTGTTAATGGAATCCAGCTCTTATTTCACCTATGCTTCCTGGATCTTATGAGAATTGCAGTCCAACAAAATTTGGAGGGTCATGTATTCTCCACCTATAGCAGTGTTTCCAAACCTTTGATCCTCCAGGTGTTTTGGACTTTAGCTCCCAGAATTCCTAACAGGTGGTAAGATGGCTAGGATTTCTAGGAGCTGAAGTCCAAAACACCTGGGGGACCAAAGATTGGGAATCACTGACCTATAGCATAATACAAATAGCTAATTAAAGCTAACAAAAGTATTGTTTGGACTGGTTTTCTATGTTATATCCAGTGGGAAATATAGTATGGGAATAGTTGTGTACAACCATTCTATATGCTAGAAATGTTTTTGCCACGCTTGTCTGTCTTTTCCTCTTGTCAGTTTCTTGAATGATTGCTCACTATATAGAACTACTTGATGTTTACATTTTTAAAACTACATTGGTCCGATGTGAAGTTCCTGCTCATTTTGAAACATTTGGTGTGATCCTTTCCATCATTTGCTCTACAGGGGATCCTACTGAACTGGACGAAAGGCTTCAAAGCGTCAGGCGCAGAAGGGAACAATGTTGTGGGGCTTTTGAGAGATGCTATCAAACGGCGAGGGGTGAGAGGAAAATAAATCTCTGCTGTTCAATTCATTGCTTCCTTGTTGCTTCATAGTATTGAGGGAGACGTAGTTTTAAAAGGAAAATTTCAAGGATGTTTCCAATGACTGTAAGTCCCATATGTCCTGATTTACTGCCATGCTGCCATATGTGCTTGCTTTTGCAGAGGGCTTTTGTATGCAAAAATGCTGATGTGTAGAGAAAAAGCTGCCAAGGACTGGAGTGGGACAGAAAGTACTTCCTAATACTTCCCTAATTTTCCAGTGGCTTTGATGCCGAACACGAATTTGGGAGGCCCTGCCTCGGCAGAGACCAGCCAGACCAAAAAGGAGGATCTGGAACACCTGGCGAGACGGCAAGCGCCAAAAAGATTTTTTCCTAATTTTCCCAAATAAAGTCTCACCAAGTTGAATGAAAGCCACCATTCCAGCTGGAAAGTATGACAATTGCAGTAATCTGCTAACAAATTGACATAACTCACTGGGATGAGAAATATAATATTTATAGAGCTGTCAACTTCAATTCTCCTACGCCCGCCCCCTGAGCTGGCTTCACTGTGATTGGCTGCAACGTCAACAAGCTGGGAGGAGATCCAATGAGGGCCCTGGCCCTGCTTTGGCCGCTCAGCCAATGAGGCGGGAGGGAGGCAGGCAACAGGGAAACAATTAAGAAATGTCCAGGTGACTGGATTCCAAAGGAAGTGTGGGCCTGCTTTTGGCTGATGACATAGGATTGTTGTTGTGTGCTTTCAAGTCATTTCAGGCTTAGGTTGACCCTGAGCGAGGGCCTTAGTTTGAGGACCCGTGGTCTACGGCATTGAATGTTTGCCATGTATATGTACATTGTAATCCACCCTGAGTCCCCTGCAGGGTGAGAAGGGCGGAATATAAATACTGTAAATAAAATAAATAATAAATATGTTTTATCCCATTCAGGGTGTCTGCTTACAAGGCTTTGAGCTTATATCAAATCTTTTCACCTTGTATAGGACTTTGAGATGGATGTGGTTGCAATGGTCAATGACACAGTGGCAACAATGATATCCTGCTACTATGAGGATCACCGATGTGAAGTTGGCATGATAGTGGGTAAGGCATTCTACCTGTCCTTTTGATATACTTGCCCTTATATTTTACAATTTACATTGAAAACCACTCCAGGTAATCATTTTCTCCAGTATTGTTCTACTCTCTGCTTACCAGAATCCACGGCGTACAAAGCCACCGCAGGTATTGGTGCTACTAGATCTCTCCCCTTTCTTCCACTCTCCTGATTTACCACTTTTCATGCAACTGCCACTAGAAAGGTGAAAATGTCTTGGTCCAAATTTAATCACTTTCTCCTAAACCAGCCTGCATTTTCTTCTCATCCTTGTTTTCTATTATCTTAGAGAGGAGTTTCTCAACCTGGGGAGGCGGGACCCCTGTGGGGAGGGTTGTGAGGGGATTTCAGAGGGGTCATCAAAGACCACCAGAAAACATATATTGCTGATGGTCTTAGGAACTCCTTTGACATAGTCGTTTGGGTTCACAGTGCTCTCTGGATGTAGGTGAACTACATCTCCTCTAAATCACTGTCCATACATCCCAAATCCTTCCAGTATTTTCTGTCGGTCATGGTGGTTCTGTATGAGAAGTTTGGCCAAATTCTATCATTGGTGGGGTTCAGAATGCTCTTTGATTGTAGGTAAACTATAAATCCCAGAAACTACAACTCTCAAATATCAAGGTCTATTTCCCCCAAACTCCACCAGTGTTCACATTTGGGTATATTGCGTATTCATGCCAAGTTTGGTCCAGATCTATCATTGTTTGAGTCCTCTGGATGTGCTCTCTGAACTAAAACTCCAAAACTGAAGGGAGTACAGAAGCCATCAAGTCTACCTCCTTGCTATACAGAAATGCTCAATTTCATTATCCAAATCAATTCCGTTCATTTCCAAACAATGTAGAGATTTGGTATTGGCTGTGGTGGCTGTGATGATGAGAATGGTGCCTGAGACATTTCAGATATCTCTGAACAGAAAAGGACTACAGAAAGATGGAGTTTCAAGTTATTAAATGTGCAACATAAATGTTGAATTAGACTGCGAAGGGGTTAAACCATATCTCCCCAAACTACTCTCCAGTTTAAATCTGAGTACAAATGCATATTGGTGTAGACTTAGCTATCATTAATACTGCATGTAATGTAAAGTCTGTTCAGCTAAACTTTCCTAGATGAAGAAAGCCATAATCATTGTATGCCAGTGATTTACTCCATGATACTTTCGCACTGACCCATAATGAAGAACCTCTTTGCGTTTCCCTTCTTACAGGCACAGGTTGCAATGCTTGTTACATGGAGGAGATGCAGAACGTTGAGCTGGTGGAAGGGAATGAAGGCCGAATGTGTGTAAACACTGAATGGGGAGCCTTTGGGGCATCTGGAGAACTGGATGAGTTCCTCTTGGAGTATGATCGTGTGGTGGATGAGACCTCGCTTAACCCCGGTCAGCAGCTGTAAGGAATATGACAGACCAAGTTAACATAACTGCTGCTTGCTTTCCTGGCTTTTACGTGTCTCCTTTTTTATTAGAGGGTGGGGTTGGGAATACACATCCCTGTTAGCCATACATAATGCATGAGTCTTCTGTCAAATGGAAATTCCCCATGATTGGGAAAGTCTGGAATGGTGGGCTTCTCTGGTTATCCTCAATCATTCATTGAAGATATTCAAGAGATTTCCCCCTTGAGGACAAAGTTTGGGAATGGTGGGTTTTGATCCTGCAGTGGGCTGCCTTTTGCTCTAAGGTCAGATTAACAACAACAACAACAACAACAACAACAACAACAAGAAGTATGTAGACTCTGCAAGGAAGCAGATGAAACAATAGATCACATCCTCAGCTGCTGCAAGAAGATCATGCAGCCAGACAACAAGCAGAGGCATAACACCGTTGCTCAGATGATTCATTGGAACTTGTGCCACAAATACCATCTGCCTGCGAGAAAGAACTGGTGGGATCACAAGCCGGAAAAAGTTACAGAAAATGAACACATCAAACTCCTCTGGAACTTCCAAATTCAGACAGAATGAGTTTTGGAGCACAAAACTCCTGAACTCACGATCGTGATAAAAAAACAAAGTGTGGATTGTTGATGTTGCAATCCCCGGTGACAGCAGGATTGAAGAGAAACAACTGGAAAAGCTGACACGATATGAGGATTTAAAGATCGAACTGCAAAGACTCTGGCACAAGCCAGTCAAGGTGGTCCCAGTGGTGATCGGCACACTGGGTGCAGTGCCTAAAGACCTTAGCCTGCACTTAAACACAACCGGCACTGACAAAATCACCATCTGCCAGCTGCAGAAGGCCACCTTACTGGGATTTGCACGCATTATTCGCCGATACATCACATAGTCCTAGACACTTGGGAAGTGTCTGACGTGTGATCCACTACAACAGCCAGCAGAGTGATTTGTCTGCTGTGGACTAATCTTGTTGTGTTTCAAACAATAATTATTATTATAAGTGTTGTTGTTGTTGTTGTTGTTATTGTTATTAGACCACAAGCTGGAGGATCCCCTGCATTATACTACAATAATGCATTTCTGTAGTGCCAACTTTTAAGCGCAGATGGTGAAATCACTTGGTATACATGTAAACCCTTGTCTAGGGATGAGAACATAAATGGAATTTAGAATAAGGAACTGGTTTTCATTCCTAGACTTCCTTTCTTGGCCCTATAAACAAATTGAGTGAAGTAATGTTGGAACACGTGTCTTAAATCTATGATCTTCTGATATACAGACAAGTGTACCAATATTCTACTGTATACATTTGTTGCTGAAAAACAACCTGCAAAGCCCAGGAAAGAGGAAGATTCCATGTTTGTTTATTTTTTTGTGCAACTCAAGAGGAAGTAGCCACTACTGCCAAGCAGTCAGCATTCATTCTTGAGAGGGGAAAGCCACAATAATTTAATCTGTAACATCTGCCCATGTACATCTAGCAACTGAATAATGTGTATTTTGGTTTGCACACATATCTCTCTCTCTCTCATTTTCGTTTGCATCCATATGTGTAGTTACACCTGCGTGGCACTAAACTGATCAATGCTCCTTTTGCCAGGTATGAGAAGATCATAGGAGGGAAGTACATGGGTGAAATTGCACGATTAGTTCTGCTAAAACTTGTTAATGAAAACTTGCTGTTCAATGGAGAAGCTTCGGAGAAGCTGAAAACTAGAGGGTCATTTGAAACACGTTTAATTTCCCAAGTTGAAAGGTAGTGTATAAGCTCTACCCATGATGTAAAACTCTGATAGTTATTTCTGTTTCAGTTGTTCTGTGCAATGTTCTCAGCGCTAAGGACTTTATCAGACAAAGTGGAGGAAATGGCGGAAAGCAGAGGGAACCATCATACCCCATTCCTTCCCACCCACCTTTCCCCGTCTTCTGCAATGGCCAGCCACCCCACATCCTTACCACAAGTCCCAACAGGCTGGCCTCCATAGAACTCCCGTGGGGCACTGTTTCCACAGCGTGTGGACATTTATTTCTTTATTTATGACATTTCTACCCCGCCTTTCTACCCCACCTTTATATTAAAATAAAATTAGAAAGTACATTAAAAACAATTAAAATATTTAAAAACAATACATTCAGAGTTAAACACATAATCTGCAAGCATAATCCAGGCCGTTCCAATGGTCATTGCACATTGTTCCAAGTCTAGCTATTGCACAAGTTCTCTAAAGGCTTGGCCACAAAGCCATGTTTTCACTCTCTTGCAGAAGGTCAGGAGGGAGAGGGTTGATCTAATATCCCTGGGGAGGAAGCTCCACAGCCGAGGGACCACCACTGAGAAGGCTCTGTCTCTCGTCTCCACGCAAGAGAGGCAGGACCGAGAGCAGGGCCTCCCCAGATGATCTTAGACTTAGCTAGAGAGAGACATGTTCAGACAGATAAGCTGGAAATGGAGCTTTACAGCTGTCTGATGAGGTCCTAAGTCTGGACTTTCCTTACATGTATAAGTATAGTAATTATGAAAGAGTAAACTCAATAATTCTATTAGAGCAGTGACCATCTGTCAGGGATTCTTTGAATGCAATTTTCCTGCTTCTTGGCAGAATGGGGTTGGACTGGATAGCCCACGAGGTCTCTTCCAACTCTATGACTCTATGGTTCTCAACCTGTAGGTCCCAGAAATCCCAGCCAGTTTACCAGCTGTTAGGATTTCTGGGAGTTGAAGTCCAAAACATCAGTGGATCCACAGGTTGAGAATCACTGCATTAGAGCCAGAAGTGCTTGAATTAGCAATAGTACTTCTTATAAAATTAGATGAATGTTTGCAAAAAATAAAGATAAAAATTAAAAAATTAAAAAATGCTGCAGACTTGCCAAATCTATTAATCTGATAATTCTAAATATGTCTGGTCCTAATAGCTGCAGAAGAGGAAGGAATAATAACAAGAAACTCATGTTATAGTAGCAGGAAGTCTAACGTTAAAAATAGTTCTTATCAAAACTTCCCGAAAACTGTAAAATGCCATATGGAGGCCATGTAGTTGTCAGTTTTTTATCCACAGTGGAATCCATTTAGATTGAGCGATGTCTTCAGGAAGTGAGGAAACAAAAATAAATAAAATGTTGACAGTGTTATGGGAATAATTGGCTGAAACCTTGAAGACCTGTTCTACAAACCACATAGAGAAATCCATTTTAAGTACTGTATATACTCAAGTATAAACCTAGTTTTTCAGCTCTTTTATTAGCTGAAAAAGTCCCCCTCAGATTATACTCAAGTCAAGGTTATTTATTATTTTACTCGTTGTTGTTATTTCATTTATTATTTTACTTTATTATTGTTGTTATTACATTTAGTATTTTACTCTATTTATTGTTTTTATTCCATTTATTATTTTTCTCTATTGTTGTTATTATTATTATTATTATTCCATTTATTAATTTACTCTATTATTATTTTTATTACTTACTAGCCATCCCCTGCCACCTGTTGCTGTGGCCCAGTCTGTGTATATGTTTTCTGTGTGTATATATGCGCATATGTGTGTGTATATCTTTGTATATGTGTATATATGTGTGTTTACGTATATAAAGTTTCTTCTTCTGTGTTTTTCAGTGTTTTTATGAGTGATGGTCACCTGATAGATGACCACGTTCGCCTGATAGGTGTATTGTATCCAAATTTGGTGTCAATTCGTCCAGTGGTTTTTGAGTTATGTTAATCCCACAAACGAACGCGACATTTTTATTTATATAGATTATTTTCTCTATTATTGTTATTTTTCAATTTATTGTTTTATTCTATTATTACTGTTATTACTACATTTCCATGATTTTACTCTATTATTATTATTATTATTATTATTATTATTATTATTACACTTATAATTTTACTCTCTTTATTATTATTGGAAGGATACGTAAGCACATTTACATTGAAGAAGGTTAGAATAATGGTTTAATCAGAGTTGGACAGTTTTATCTTAAATTACAGAGTTGTGTAAACATTCAGAAACATTTAACTTACTGATACCTCAATTAATTTAATTTTATTAGTCTCTATTTTTATTTTGAAATTTATCAATAGCTGCTGCATTTCTCACCCTCGACTTATACTCAAGTGAATCTGTTTTCCCGGTTTTTTTGTGGTAAAATTAGGTGCCTCGGCTTATATTCAGGTCGGCTTATACTCGAGTATATACGGTAATCTCCATCATGGTGGCCATAATATGTCTCGTATAAGCCCTTGGTATGAATTGAATCTACCAAGCTATTTGGAAATATAATGCAGTATATCACCTGAAGTGCGTGGATGAGTAACTGGCTAGTTTTTATTGAGACCTTTGATTATATGCACATTAATCACATCCAAGTCAGAGGAGTAAGTCTTCCTATGCTTGTGTTTCCCAGTGATCCTGGTGACCGTAAGCAGATCTACAATATTCTGACATCCTTTGGGCTATTGCCCTCAGCAACAGACTGTGACATTGTTCGTATGGTATGTGAGAGAGTTTCAACACGGGCTGCACAGATGTGTTCAGCGGGGCTGGCTGGTGTCATCAATCGTATGAGAGACAGCAGAAGTGAGGAGACACTGAAGATCACTGTAGGCGTAGATGGTTCAGTCTACAAGCTCCATCCCAGGTGAGGTCCACCTAGCCTTGGCATTTTGAGTCTTTTAGAAGAATCTGGGCTCTTTTGAATGATGAGGTGTGGAAATCTGGAATGGTCTCCTAGTTGTTACCTTTAGTCTTTGGCTCCCAGAAGCTCTGAACAGTGTATCAATTAAAACTTGTGCACCAGCTGCGCCCGTACCTTGGGAAGTCGGACTTGGCTATAGTAGTCCATGCTCTGGTTACATCCCGAATAGACTATTGCGACGTGCTCTACATGGGGTTGCCTTCGAAGACTGTTCGGAAGCTTCAAATAGTCCAACGGACAGTAGCCAGGCTGCTCACCAGAGTGACGTACAGAAAGCATACAGCCCCCTGTTGCATCAGCTCCATTGGCTGCCAGTTTGCACAATTCAAATTGCTGGCTTTAGCCTATAAAGCCCTAAATGGTTCCTGCCAACCTTACCTGTCCGAACTTATCTCCTCTTATGAACCACATAGAAGATTAAGATCATTGGGGGAGGCCCTGCTTTCAGTCCCACCACCTGCACAGGCACGTCTGGTGGGAATGAGAGACAGGGCCTTCTCAGTGGTGGCCCCTTGGCTGTGGAACTCCCTCCCCAGTGATATTAGAGCAGCTCCCTCTCTCCTGGCCTTTAGAAGGAAAGTGAAAACCTGGCTTTGGGGTCAAGCCTTTAGAGATTAACTAGAGTGCAAAAATAACTATGATTTTTGTGTGTGTCAAGAGTGACTTGAGAAACTGCAAGTCGCTTCTGGTGTGAGAGAATTGGCTGTCTACAAGGATGTTGCCCAGAGGATGCCCGGATGTTTTGATGTTTTGCCATCCTTGTGGGAGGCTTCTCTCATGTCCTTGCATGGGGAGCTAGAGCTGACAGAGAAAGCTCATCTGCGCTCTCCCCAGATTTGAACCTCCGACCTGCTGGTCTTCAGTCCTGCCGGCACAAGGGCTTAACCCACTGCACCACTAGTGCAATGAAATATGTGTAATTATTTTTGGAACGGCTCCGGATTACGATTGTGGATGGTGTGATTTTTTAATAGAGATTATAATGTTTATATGTTTTAATGTGCACTTTAACACTTTTTTTATTATTTTAACTTAAATGTATTTAATTGTTTGTTCTCTAAAGGCATTTGTAAAGCCACCTTGAGTCCCCTTTGGGATATAAATAGAATAAATAAATAAATAATAGTATGAACCAAGGAACCATTCTGAACATTACACAAGAAACCAGTCATTTACATGAAATTATGTACTTATCTATTCAGAAACAAGCCTTGTTGGATTCATTTTGACATACTCCTGGTCCCTAGGCAAGTGCAGCTGAGATTTCAGTCTTAAGGTACCTTTTCTTGGGAAAAGCTTCCGCTAGCAGAGAAGCAGGTTTTGGGTGTGCGAGCGAAGTCTTCCGCCACCGACTGTTTTTATGTTCCGACTCCCCTCCGCTGCTTCCCACCCATGTGTGGTTCCAGACATGTGCTTATCTTTTAAAGCCCTGTTTGCACCTCGAGAGGGAGGGAAGTTATAAGGGGAAATGGCAGGCAAACAAAGAGTTAAACATATAGATTGGTCTGCAATGTTTAGTTTGGCCTTGACTCAGCCAGTTTGAAAGGACTGCCAAAGACATCTGAGGATGGCATATCTGGCAGGAGCTGGGATAGAGCCATTTGCCCCTGTTTTGATTTAGCTTCATAAAGTAGTATCGCCTTTCATTAAGCAGCACCGTGCTGCGGTAGCAACAAACTTCAAGCTGCTAGACAGGAGATCAGGAACAATAGCTGGAAGAGGAAACTCCCAGAGTCTGCATTCGGAGCCCATGCTCAAGCCTCAGCCTATGAACTGGGTTTTTGGACACCACAAAGGACACGTCCGCACACTATGGCGGCTTTCAGCACTATGTTTGTTGTTGCAGGCCTTCAAGTCATTCTGACATATAGTAAACCTGTCATCAGGTTTTCTTGGCAAGATTTCTTCAGAGGAGGTTGGGCATTGCCTTCCTCTGAGGCTGAGAGAATGTGACCTACTTAAGGCTATCCAATGGATAGCTTCATTGTAATTTTTTAATATTTTTTATTATTTTATCATGGTTTAATACATTTGTTATACATTGTTTCTTTTAGAGCAGATACATATTATTCAATACAACCTTTTGGCATCTACTGTTAATTTTCTGCTTATACATATTTTTTATCCCTCCCCCCCCCCCTCTCAAGCCACAGCTTTTACATGTCATCTGTCCAAAATTTCAATTCTTCTTGTGGAGGTAACTTTCCTTCTTTATTTTTTAATCCTTTTTCGATACATTTTCTCCATACATCATCAAAATCACTTTGTTTCCATATACTTCTTTTAACTTTTAATATACTGGTCAGCTTATCATTTATTGCCAATTTCCATACTTCCTTGTACCACTCCTCTATTTGTATATTTATTTCTTTTTTCCAATACCTTGCTATAAGCAGTCTTGCTATTGTTAATAACTTTGTTATTGCATCTTTATCCTCTTTTTACAATTGTTTATTATTATATAATGATAATAAGGCTATACTAGGACTTCTTTCTATTTTAATATTCATTATATCTTCTATTTCTCAAAATACTTTCCCCCAAAAATTATTTACATATTTACATTGCCACCACATATGTATATATGTTCCTGATTCTTGACATCCTCTCCAGCAATTTTTTGAATAGTTTTTATTTATATTTGCTATTCTTACTGGTGTTAGGTACCATTTCCATATTAACTTGTAATAATTTTCTTTAACCCGTATTGATACGTTTTTTAGATGTCTTTGTCTCCATAATTGTTGCCACTCTGTTTCATTTATTTTTATCCCTAAATCTTCTTCCCAGACCTTCTTGAGGGTGTTATTTTCTGTTTTTCCTTTCTTTATTTCAATTATTATCTTATATATTTTACTAGTTACTCCTTTCAAATTTCCATGCTCCTCTAAAACCCTTCCATTTTGTATTATTTGTTCAAATTGGTTAAGCTTACTTCCCTTTTTTTATTATCTCCCCCCCCCCCCATTTTTAAACCATTGTTCTAATTATATACAATGGAACCATGTCAATTTTATTTCTCTAAATTCTTCCATAATCGTTTCCTTCTTCATTCCAACCTTTATCCGATTCCCTATTTTGTCTATTTTTCCCCTTAACCTTTTATCCATTAATTTTCTTAGATAGCTTCATAAGACATTAAAAAATAGGTCAAAACCATGCTTGCCAGATAAGAATGCCAAGATAACCACTTCAGATAACTGTCTCACCCTCCAACCACCACTCCCTAATTCAACCCTTATTATTGCTGTTGCTGGGGGAACGTCAAGAGGATTGGTAGTTCTCATAAAGCTTTTCCTTGATTTAGTCTATTGGGAGGAGGCTGGTAGCCACGTAGTGGGTGGCTTTCACAGTGTTCAACCTTATTTCTCTCACATTTAGCAGCAACTTCCCAATGCATATCCGGGGCCGGGGGGGAGGGGGGGGGCAATGCCAGCTAGCTTGTAGAGTTTATCAACAGGTGTAGGTTTAAGACATCCTGTGATTATTCTGCATGTTTCGTTCAATGCTACGTTCACCTGTTTTGTGTGGGCAGACCTATGCCAAACAGGGCAGGTATACTCAGCAGTTGAGTAAGACAAGAGCTGATATTCTTATTAATTTTGGTTCTGCACCCCATGTGCTGCCAGTAAGTTTTCGCAGGATATTATTGCGTGCAGCTACTTCGTGCTTGGTATACAAGCAGTGTTTCCTATATGCTAGTGTTTGAACGAAGGTGACACTGAGATATTTAGAATGGAAACAATGTTCAAGGTTACTTTCAATTTCTTGTTGGCTTCACGTGGAAAGCACACACTTGTGTCTTACAATATAATGATATAATACAATATAGGGAAAGGTAAAAGTTTTACCTTGAAGTCCAGTCATGTCCGACTCTGGGGTGTGGTGCTCATCTCCATTTCTAAGCTGTAGACACCTCCAAGGCCATGTAGCCGACCTTTGATCTACTCACATTTACATGTTTTCAAACTGCTAGGTTGGCAGAAGCTGGGGCTGACAGCGGAAGCTCACGCCGCTCCCCAGATTCGAACCTGCGACCTTTCGGTCAACAAGCTCAGCAGCTCAGTGCTTTAACCCACTGCGCCACCGGGGGCTCCATAGTAAAATATAGTAATATATAATACTGATCTTGTACAATGCTAATAATATAATATACTAGCCGTTCCCTGCCACGCGTTGCTGTGGCCCAGTCTGGTGATCTGGAAAATAAAGTGTTGGTTTCTAATATATGTAATTTCTTTATGCTTGTGGGTAAACAGTATTTCTGATTGCTTCTTTGTCAGTTGATGTGGAAATTGTTTGGTTTACCTACTCTGGAACATGCAACATATCATTGTCCTTCTTTAGGGGTCCCTTTCTAATCTGTATCTGTGTGAATCATATCTATCTATCTATCTATCTATCTATCTATCTATCTATCTATCTATATCTATGGCTGGATGTCTCTTTGTCAGGAGGGCTTTGATTATGTTTTCTTTCCCTGGTGAAGGAACTTGGACTCAATGGCCTTAAGTATTTTCTGTTGGTTATGGGGGTTCTGTGTGGGAAGTTTGCCCCAATTCTATCGTTCGTGGGGTTCAGAAAGCTCTTTGATTGTAGATTAACTATAAATCTCAGTAACTACAACTTCCAAATGGAAAGGTCTATTTCCCCCAAACTCTATCTGTGTGCATATTTGGGCATATGGAATATTCGTGCCAAGTTTGGCCCAGATCCATCATTGTTTGAGTCCACAGTGCTCCCTGGATGTAGGTGAACTACAACTCCCAAACTCAAGGTCAATGCCCACCAAACCCTTCTAGTGTTTTCGGTTGGTCATGGGAGTCCTGTGTACCAAGTTTGGTTCAGTTCCATCACTGGAGGAGTTCAGAATGCTCTTTGATTGTAGGTGAAGCAACTACAACTCCCAAATGACAAAATCAATCTTTTGAGTGATGGTCACTCATTGGCCTGATAGGTGTATTGTGTCCAAATTTGGTGGCAATTTGTCCAGTGGTTCTTGAGTTATGTGAACATAACTCAACATGTGTGTGTGTGTGTGTGTGTGCATATGTTGTAAGCGGCTCTGAGTCCCCTTCAGAGTGAGAAAGGTGGCATATAAATGCCACAAATAAATAAATAAATAAGATCCTGGAGTCGAGGGATCTTCTGAGATGGTGCTTCTTTTGCAAAATCCTCTCTTCTCTCTTTCTCCCCAGCTTCAAAGACCGATTCCATACAACAGTCAGACAACTTACACCAGGCTGCGACATCACATTCCTGCAATCAGAGGAAGGCAGTGGCAGAGGAGCCGCTCTCATCTCGGCAGTAGCATGCAAAATGGCCTGCATGATTGGCCAGTGAACTGGCACTGGCCACGGACCATGGAAAGGAAAGTGCCTGCCTGGGACACATCTCTTCTGTCCAGGGGCCTGACTGAGTTGTTGTTTTAGAGGGTGCATGGAGCTGAACCAGCGGAAGGAAGGTTTTCCTGGGGTGGGGGGACACGGGACGGGGAAGGGAGTAACACTGGGTTTCTCCTAACCTCTACTAGTAGATGATAAAATAAGCATTCGAAACCACAGCCTTTCTGTCCTTAAAACCTTCTCCACTACAACAGAGTCTGTGGGGACTTCAGTTTATGTAATAAGCTGTTTTGTGTAGTTTTTTGTGGGTGGGACAGTGCAGGAGAGATGGAAATTGAATACATGATATGTGAGGTTTTTTTCTTCCTTTTATGGTATGCTGAAAACAGGAATCTGGGCAAAATGATTGGCACAAAGTACTGTTTTCTGCCAGGGTGTTCCATCAAGGTGTGATTTAAGGCCAAAATATAAGAATGTGAGCACCTTGTCCAATCCTGATATCTGTCTTACCATATTTCAGGGACGGAGGTAATGCATCTTATTACCAGAAGAGAAGGGGGCATAGGATGAATTATGCTAGGACAGGCATGGGTAAACTTTGGCCCTCCAGATGTTTTGGACTTCAACTCCCACAATTCCCAACAGCTGGCTGGGATTTCTGGGAGATGATGTCCAAAACACCCGGAGGGCCAAAATTTGCACAGGGCTGCTGTATATGAAAGGTCAGAGATCTTAAACTGCACACTACATATGTAAATTAGTGTGGAGTTTATAAATGAGGGCTGATACAGACATACACTGTGCTTTGTACACATGGTTTGTACATAGCTAGCTACACACAATTTTGGATTTAGCACATTTGAGACATGCCTTAGTTCAGCCCTCTGACAAATTCCATCCCAACCTCTCTGCTCTTGATTCCTGGCCATGCATTTATTTGACTCAAGACACTCTCTCTTACTGCTGCCATAAGATTGTTTATTTCCTTCTAATTCCCCCCTTTTATCCTGTTCATGGATCCCAGGGACCCTTTTGTATTAAAAACAACAAGAATTAAAAAATGGCAAAACTCAATCCTGTTGTACCTGATCTGTTTATCAAAACACATTTTTGTTCCACATTATGGGCTCAGAACACAATAATAATAATAATAATAATAATAATAATAATAATAATAATAATAATAGATGTCGCCATACCAGGTGACAGTCGCACTGAGGAAAAACAACAGGAAAAACTCAGCCAAAATCAAGACCTCAAAATCGAACTGCAAAGGTTCTGGCATAAACCAGTACAGGTGGTCCCAGTGGTCATTGGCGCACTGGGTGCCGTGCCAAAAGATCTCAGCTGGCATTTGGAAACAATAAACATTGACAAAATCACAATCTGTCAAGTGCAAAAAGTCACCTTACTTGGATCTGCGCGCATCATTCGAAAATACATCACAGTCCTAAACGCTTGGGAAGTGTTCGACTTGTGATTTTGTGATACAAAATCCAGCATATAGATCTCATTTGCTGTGACATACTGTGCTTTTGTGTCAATAATAATAATAATAATAATAATAATAATAATAATAATAATAACAACCGACACTGAGGGAAGTCAATAGTAGTAAACTGATTAAAGTGCAAAAGACAAAGAGTGAATACCATAAGAACACAATCCAGAGCAGAAGAGAAAACTGGCAAAAGAAGGCTCTCCATGGACAGTTCCTGGGAAAAATTGAGAGCCAAATTGACAAAAAAACATGGCTGTGGCTCACAAATGGAACTCTGAAAAAGGAGACAAAGGAGGGCCTGATTCTGGCAGCCCAAGAACAAGCCATTAGAACCAATGCCATCAAAGCCAGAATTGAAAAGTCAACGACAGATCCCAAATGTAGACTCTGCAAGGAAGCAGATGAAACAATAGACCACATCCTTAGCTGCTGCAAGAAGATCGCACAGACAGACTACAAGCAGAGGCATAACACCGTTGCTCAGATGATTCATTGGAACTTGTGCCACAAACACTATCTGCCTGCGACAAAGAACTGGTGGGATCACAAGCCAGAAAGAGTTACAGAGAATGAACACGTCAAACTCCTCTGGGAATTCCGGATTCAGACAGACAGAGTTTGGGAGCGCAATACTCCTGATCTCAGAATAGTGTGAAAAAACAAAGTGCGGATTGTCGATGTTGCAATCCCAGGTGACAGCAGGATCGAAGAGAAAGAACTGGAAAAGCTGACACGGTATGAGGATTTAAAGATCAAACTGCAAAGACTCTGTCACAAGCTAGTCAAGGTGGTCCCAGTTTTAATCGGCACACTGGGTGCAGTGCCTAAAGACCTTGGCCTGTACTTAAACACAATCGACACTGGCAAAATTACCAGCTGCCAGCTGCAGAAGACCACCTTACTGGGATCTGCATGCATTATTTGCCGATACATCAAACAGTGCTAGAGTCTTGGGATGTGTCCGACGTGTGATCCAATACAACAGCCAGCACAGTGATCTTGTTTGCTGTGGACTCATTTCGTTGTGTTTCAAATAATAATAATAACAACAACTTTATAGAGTGTCCTATCTCCCCAAAGGGATTCGGGGCGGTTACCAACATACAGTAGAGTCTCGCTTATCCAACCTTCGCTCATCCAAAGTTCTGTATTATCCAACGCAGTTTGCCTCCCACCCAAATCACAGCTGTTTCAATACATTGCAATGTTTTGGTATTAAATTTATAAATACAGTAATTAGTGCCAGGCATGTAGCCGGGGGGGGGGGGGGGCTTGGGGGGCTTCAGCCCCCCCCCCCCGAAATTCTCATGGTAGTTCGCAAAAAGGCCTTACTGGTGCATTATTTAAACTGTTATGTTTATTCATATCATGATCTGATCACCATACTCAATATATCCCATATGCATGGGGGTATTGGGGTAATGATACAAAAGGTTTGCTAGGCTAGACCCTCTTTCACTCAGACTCAGCCCCCCCCCCAAACTCAGCCTCCCCCAAAACCCCCCCCTGAAAAAAAATCCGCCCCCCCCCCCCGAAACGAAATCCTGGCTACGGGCCTGATTAGTGCTTTTCTGTCGATTTGTTGTAAAACATGATATATTGGGGCTTAATTTGTAAAACCATAACGTAATTTTACATTGAATAGGCTTTTCCTTAATCCCTCTATTATTCATCATTTTCGCTTATGCAATGTTCTGCTGGCCCATTTATGTTGGATAAGCGAGACTCTATTGTAGATGACAAACATTCATTTACAACAAGAAGACATATAAACAAATTATATGAAAACAGAACACATCTAACAATGTAAGAAGCCTGAATACTTCCCTAGAAGCCAGGGTGACTAAACAGAAACTGTCATATTTTGGATAAATCAGAAGACATAACTCAGTAGAATTTGCAAAAATCCTTGGCAAGGAAAAGCCTGTAGGACAAGAGCCAGACCACTGAATTTGCAGGACTTATGCAGAGCTGTTGATAATTAAGTGATGGAGACCTCAATTGCATAGTGTTATTACATACTCTACAATTGTAGTGGGAAAAGGCCTTTTGGGATCAGACTCTTCATATTCATGTGATAGATGCTGGAAATGTAATGCACTGGTGCCCTGACTCATGGTTTAAATAATGCAAAGGAGCAATCTTGTGCATTTTTGCTCAGTATGTGTCTTAAGATGTTCGGTGAAGCAATGTGCCCAAGGTAAGTGTGTAGAGTTTTTGTGTGTGCGTGTGCCAGGAGCGACTTGAGAAACTGTTAGTCACTTTTGGTGTGAGATAATTGGCTGTCTGCAAGGACATTGCCCAGGGGACGCCCGGATGTTTTGATGTTTTACCCTCCTTGTGGGAGGCTTCTCTCATGTCCCCAAATGGGGAGCCGGAGCTGACAGAGGGAGCTCATCCACGCTCTCCCCAGATTTAAACCTCTGACCTGTCGATCTTTAGTCCTGCCGGCACAAGGGTTTAACCCATTGTGCTACCGGGCACTCCTTGTGTGTAGAGAAATGCAACCAAATAGGATTTGTTTATGTGGTAAGAGAATCCCTGTTGCAACCATAAGCCTGCGAGACATGGACTTCTACAGACATCACATGCAACTCCTGGAACCATTCCATCAGCGCTACCTCCGAAAAATCCTGCAAATCTCCTGGGAAGACAAGCAGACAAATGTCAGCATGCTGGAGGAAGCAAAGACCACCAGCATTGAAGCGATGGTCCTCCACCATCAACTCCGCTGGACCGGACACGTTGTCCAGATGCCCGACCACCGTCTCCCAAAGCAGTTGCTCTACTCCAAAATCAAGAACGTAAAACGGAATGTTGGTGGGCAGGAAAATAAATTTAAATATGGGCTCAAAGCAGGCTCGTAGCCAGGATTTTGATTTGGGAGTGGCTGAGTTTGATTCGGGGGGGGGGGGGGGCTGAGTCTGAGTGAAAGAGGGTCTAACCTAGCAAACCTTTTGTATCGTTACCCCAATACCCCCATGCATATGGGATATATTGAGTATGGTAATCAGATCATGATATGAATAAACATAACAGTTTAAATAATGCACCAGTAAGGCCTTTTCGCGAACCACCATGAGAATTTCGGGGGGGGGGGGCTGAAGCCCCATGAGGCCAACCTTTAAAACTCTGGCATAGACACTGAGAACTGGGAAGCCCTGGCCCTTGAGCGCTCCAGCTGGAGGTCAGCTGTGACCAGTAGTGCTGTAGAATTTGAAGAGGCACAAATGGAGGGAAAGAGAGAAATGTGCCAAGAGGAAGGCACATCAAGCCAACCCCGACTGAGACCGCCTTCCACCTGGAAACCAATGCCCTCACTGTGGGAGAAGATGCAGATCACGAATTGGGCTCCACAGTCACCTACAGACCTACCAGTACGCTGATCTTGGAAGACTATCCTACTTGGACAACGAGGGATCGCCTAAGTAAGTAAGTAACAACTATTATATGTATCAGTTCACAAAATGATGTAGCATTTCGATGTTGGAATGGGGTGCATCACACTGTAGAATTGATGCAGTTTGACACCACTTTAACTGTCATAGCTCAGTGCTATGGAATCATAGGAAAGACCTTAACATCTTCTGCTAAATAATGCTCATGCATCACCAGATTACAACTCCTGTGATTCTATGGCATTGAGCAATCCATGGCAATTAAAGTTTTGTCAAACTGCATTAATGCTATTGTGCTTGCTCCTAGGACTCTTGAGACCAACTCCCCACTCAGCCTTAGAAGCCCACTGCGAGTATCTTGGCAAGTCACACTGTCTCAGCCGCACAGGAGGGCAAAGCCAACTCCTTTCAAACTTTTGTTTTGCCAAGAAAACTAAGGGTTACCACAAGTTGGAAAGGACTTGGAAACACAACCCACAAACAATGTTAGTGCCATTATATTAGAAAACAATGGATCATTGACCCATCATCAGTCATGTCTAACTAGGATAAACCTCCACATTGTGACATGCATGCCTAACTGATGACCAGAGGAGCAAATCGGAGAGCACTGCTATTAAAGAAACACCCTTCTATCAGCAAAGGCCTTATCATCCAAGCCTTATCAAGTGCCAGAGTATTTGAGTCTGTGACTGCCAAGTTTGGCAGTCGCAGACACAAATACTCTGAGCTCCGGATTTAGCCCACTGTGATAAGCTATGCGATATAGGCTCTGAGCTTTTGCTTGACACCATCCAGACCTGCCTTGTTCTTCAGGGAGACATCCAAGATGGTGAGTACTGCATCGCTTTCCTGTTCATCCTTTCTGGGCTCCTCTCAATTACACTTTTTCTATTCCTACCTCAACCAGGGTTTTATCATTTTACCTCGTCCATTTGGCCTGCCCATTGTGTTTGATTTTATATATGTCAATCTCCTCTGTTTATTTTATTTTGCTACTTTATGTATTTTATTCTGATGAAATTTTTGTTGCCTGCATTTTGTATTTTATTTTGCTGCATTGCATCTTTGGGCTTGGCCTCATGTTAGCCACCCCGAATCCCCTTCGAGGAGATGGTGGCGGGGTATAAATGATGATGATGATGATGATTATTATTATTATTATTATTACCACT